GGTATCAGCTTATGGAGTTATATAACAGCAGTCAAAGAAAGTGGTTCAGCTCATTTTTCTACTAGATAATAATAATTTAACACTCATCTCACTGAACATTTTGTTTCTGCCCATTCACTCTGAGGAGGCATTTGAATTACTGTAGACAACTTTTACTGTCAGTCAAGTGTCTAAAGTATCACACCAATTGCTTCTGAAATATTTTAAGATAAATAAGGAATCTTGACATGTAAAATTGCTTTTGATATCTGTTGAGAATCATCGTTCAATAACATAACTTGATACCAATACTTGAGGCTGGCAGTTACATCAGATTCTTAAGATGTCTGCCTTTCAGTAATTATCATTTTGCTAAAATTGAAAGTTACTGCCCCTACATTTTTCTCCTGCAAATCTGTCATTCACTCATTCTTGACCAATCTCACCATTTCTATAGGGATGGCTCACATGTGATTGTCCACATACTGCATAAAACTTCAACAAAACACATCAAAGAAGATCTAAGATGCCTTCCATTGGCTATCAAGTAGGAAATTCAGGGAAAACCTAAGTTTTTTGAGGGTACACAACTCTTCAGCACCTGGCCCTGGTGTGAGGTCTCACCAGCCCCTTCCCCAAAATTCATACAATCTACAGAATAGCTATACTACCTTCTCATTCATCCTCTACTTTGTTTTGATTTCCTTCCTTTTTCCTTTACTTCCTTCTCCCTCCTCCCCCTTCCATTCCTTCCCCTTAGCCTTTCCCTTCTTACTTTATATTTTCCTTCCTTCCTTCCTTCCTTCCTCCCGTCCTCCCTTCCTCCCTCCCTCTCTCCCTTCCTCCCTTCCTCCCTCCATACTCTCTCTCTTCCCTTTGCTTCTTTTCACTGGACATATCGAATTTTCTTCTTCAGGTTTATTAACTAACTTCAAATTTTATTCCTCCTTAGTTACTCCCATTTTATTAAGAAAATACCTGATTACTTCCCTTTACCATCCTTATGTATAAATCTGATTTTATATTGCCCTCAAGACAAGTTTTCTAGCACATTCTGATCCCTCAGAGGACTCTCTATGCCCTTTCTCCCACATTCCCACCCCATTCTATTATATCACATATTTTATTTGAAGTATAGTTGACATACAATATACACCACATTTTTATCATCAAAAAGGTTTGATCTAGATAAATTTTTAGACATACTTTTTCTCTTTTGGTTATTGTTTACTTACAAATAAATCTTAGGAGTAGTTTTCTCAGCTATAATCATCATAGTTTATTGTGATCTCCTAGATTTTTTTCTGCAGAACTTTTTAATCAATAGACTTTAGTTCTTAGAACAGTTTTAGGTTTACAATAAAACTGAAACCAAAATAGAGACTTTCAATATACTCCTTCTCCCTCTGCCAGCTTATTTTCTATTATTAACATCTTGCATTAGTTTTGAGAGACAAAGTGAGACAGAGTGCGAGTAAGGAGGGACAAAGAGGGAAGGACAGAATCCGAAGTAAGACCCAGGCTCTGAGCAAGCGTTCAACACAGAGTCCAACATGGGCTCAAACCCACAAACCGTGAGATCATGTCCTGAGCCGAACTAAGTCAGACGCTCAACTGACTGAGTCACTCAGGTGCCCCACCACTGACACATTATTAATTAAAGTCCATAATGTACATTAGGGTCCACTTTGTGTTGTAGAGTTCTACTGGTTTTAGTAAATGCAAAATGAAATGTATCCATCACTACAGTATCACATAGAAGAGCTTCACGACCATAAATATACCCTACATTCCACCTATTCATCCCTGCCTCTACTGCCTCCCCTTGAACCCTTGAAAATCACTGACCTCTATGGTTTTGCCTTTTCAAGAACATCATGTATGTTAAATTCTACAGTATCTAACATTTTCAGACTGGCTTCTATTGTTTAGCCATGTAACATTTAAAGTTCTGTTTCCTGTGGCTTGATAGCTCATTCTTTTTTTTCACTGAATAATATTCCACTGCATGGATACCCCACCTGTGACAGTATTTTCAAAGCACACTTTAAGTGATCAAACTAGTAATAAGTCTATTTCATCTACACATCTAAATTATATTTGGCAGTATATAAATATCCATATTTAAAGTGTCTTTTAAGAATACACTGCCACCATATATTCAGTATAACTGGTAAGAAATGTTATATAGCGATCTAATTTTTTGCTCCTTTGCAGATGACCTACTCCCTCTCCCCTGGAATATTTTCATTTATTTGCTTTACTTTTGAGGTCCTAAAATTCACAGTGATGTGTCTATATGTAGGCAGTTTTTTCTTTATTAATTCTATTCTTTCCATTAGGAAATCCTTCAATTTGAATTCATACATATATATATGAATATATATATGAATATATGTATATATACATCAAATATTATAAGAAGGTAATACCCTCCAAATATATCTTATCCTTAATTATTTTTTTGCTGCTTCTAGAATGTCTATTTTTTGGATATCAACATTGTAACATCTGCCCTCTATTTCACTTTTTCTTTCATCTACATGTTTCATTTGTTTATCCCTTTTTTATGCTTTTCAGAAAAGTTCCTAAAAGTGGTTTCCAATTTTTTCAATTTCTTAAGGCATGTTTTATGGGCTAGAATATGGTCTACTTGAGGAACATTCCATGTGAGTTTGAGAAGAATGTGTACTCTGTTGTTGGATGTAATTGCATATACATGGCAATTAGACCAAGTTGATTGATAGTGTTGCTCAGGACAACTTACTGACTTTATATCCCTACTGATTTCTTGTATCACTGCATTTTTACTCTTTTATTTTTGTTTAGAAGTTGCCCTAGAACTTGCAATAAGCATTTAACCCAGAGCAGAATGCAGACTATGCCAGAAGAATCTAACTATATTACAAGTATATGAATCAACCTCACAGAAAGGGATTGAAACAAAAGTTGTTAAGCAATTTTGGAAATAAGTAGAATCGAGAAGACCAAGGGCAAAAGGAACTGCACATAAGCCCAGTACTCTAGCTGATAATGTGTTTTTCTTTCTTTTTTTCCTACAGATTAAAGCTTTTCCTCTGCTATGTATGTATATATGTATGCAAGAATTTAACAATCATGTAAGTGCATGGAGGATGGCAGAAACCAGGCTCCTCAGTGTTGGAGTAGGAGTTCACAAAGAAACCAGAGGAGGAGGCCAGAGTAAACCACGTCGTCATAGGTGAGAGTTGGAGACATCAGTATGAACTCACGCTCAGCTTAATGCACATAGAAATGGTTACATACAGAAACATTTATAGATTAAGTGTATACAGGTGAGTTAGTATGTACACATGTATTTCTTTGCTTTGTCAGCTGAGAGAAGCTTGTTGCCAGTCGCAACAAGCATTCTAGAATTTGGCTTCAGTACTATTCTTCAATTACAGGTATGACGATTCCTTGAAGAACTGGCTGATTTGAGGGCTAGGTGGGAAACACACAAGACAAGCTTGGTGAGTCTTGTCATTCTAGAAAGTAAGAAAGTGCTCAAAAAAACCCAAAATTCCACTACCACAACAACCTTACACGGATGGGAACTGTCAAAAGGGCTCAGGAGCCAAAGGCCAACAGTGGAGTAATACGAGCAATAAAGTCTCCTGGATTATAAATAAAAGTATAAACCGAATCTGTAAGTCTATACTGATCTAAATAATTAAATGATAAGTAAATAAATGGGGAAGACACAAATTTACCACAGAGAAGAAATCCAAACAATGAAGCCAGATGCTCCACCCTCAAGGAGGTGGACAAGAACCCCCAACTTCTTAAATGGTGGCTGCACACAGTGGCTCCCCACCAAAAAGAACAGTATGGAAAAGAGAAACACACTAACTTCATGGTGGAGAACTCTGATACTATCTGAACCAGATGATCAAGGTCAGCATCAAGTGTTAAGTCAACTGCAAGTATGTACACTTGACTGATGCACTGAAAATGGCACTTGACCTTTATGATCTTCCATAATCTCTGAAACCCATAACCTTAGTCTAATATTAAAAAACACTATCACAACTTCCAATAAAAGGGCATTCTGAAAAATATCTGACCTGTATTCCTCAAAACTGATCTTTAAACACAGAAAATCTGACAAAATGATACAGCCAAGAGGAGCCAAAGGAAGCTAATAGTTACATGTAATGTGGCACCGTGGATGGGGCCCTGGAAAAGAAAAAGGACACAATGTAAAACCTAAGGAAATCTGAAAAAAAAAATATGGACTGTAGTTAAAAATAAAGTATATTCAGTATTTATTCATCGTTTGTAACAAATATACCATACAAATGTAAGATGTTTTTAATACGGGAAGCTGAGTATACCATATACGAGAATTCTCTGTATTATCTTTGCAATTTTTCTGTAAATCAGAAACTGTTATAGAAAAAAATTGAGAGTGCTCAATTTTTGTTGTTCCCAGAGCCCTTTATTTACAACCCTATATAGCATTTATTCTAACATGTCTTATATTATAATCATATTATATCTATCTTGTTATAGTTCTCATATATCTGTTTCTTAATTTGAGTGCAAGTTCCCAGAAGGAAGAGACCATCCCACTCATCTTGTTATCCTCTTTAACTCAGTGCTTTCCACAAAGTCAAGACCAAATAATGTTAGGTACAAAACCTGTGAATTAACTGAAATGGGTTCCTATGGAGAAATTACCAGTGAACCTACTTGCTGAATTTTACCAAAGGTAGATTGTGGTAGTCAAACACAGGCAACAAGCCCTCTCCTGTAGGTTCCCTGAAAGCGAATGCGGGCGTATCACAGGAAATGAGTACTTTCAGTCAGTGCATCCTTTGGGTACCAAGTTGTACTCCTTCTTCAGCATAGGTCAAAATAATGTACATCCACTAAGTTAAAACTAGGGGACAACTTGATTCTGACCACAAGGAGTCCTATAGAAAAGATAGACACGTAATTCAAGCTTATTTGGCTTTATTGCTCAGCAGACACAGGTAAGATGGAGAAGAAATGAGTGCAGGGTTGCTTAAGCGTAATGAGGACATTTAACAAAAAGGGGCTGCGTACAAATTCATTAAACTCTTGACAATATTCTTGAGGCTCTGAAATTCAAACACAATGTTTTCTTTTTAATAGTGTTGTCATGACTCTAAGTCTAACAGTAAACCTATCAATTCCCATTGGAAAATACTTTCAGTGTTGTTTTCTTGTAGAAGACCAATTTATTTCAATAAAGAAATCCTCATGATGTGACGAAAAGGAAGAACTGCCAAACACGTTGGGGGTATTAAAGAGCCACTGAGCAAAAAGTCTCTCAAATTATTGGAAACTCTCATTTATACTGCCCTACTTAGGGACACATGGGTGACTCAGACGGTTAAGCATCCAACTTCAGCTCAGGTCATGATCTCATGGTTCGTGGGTTTGAGCCCCGCATCAGGCTTTCTGCTGACAGCTCAGAGCCTGCTTTGGATTCTGTCCCTCTGCTTCTCTCTCTGTCTCTCTCTCTCTGCCCATCCCCCATTTGCTCACTCTCTTTGTCTCAAAATAAACTTTAAAAATAAAATGATTTATACTGCCCTCCTTAATAAGCAAAGTGAAAGTCTGAGAAATTTATTCAGAATTTGTACTTGTAACAGTAATCAAAATGAATATTTTGTGCTTACCAAAAAGTATACATAAATGACTACAAACAATTGATCCTTTGAAATAGGAAAGACTTATCCTCCTAATACTCCCAGTTTATACCGACAAGAACCTATCTCCAACAAATGTCAATGTGGTAGCTCCTAACATGCAATGTACAGTGTGCTTTAAAGTGGACACACTTTATTTTCATAATGAAGTCCCCATTGACTCATGGAATAAGTTCTAAACACTTTATACTTGATGAAGTATTACCAAAGAACCCATATACAATTATACCATGTGTTATAATTTGCTTTTTCCTCTATTTTACCCTAAGACTAACTTTAATGCTAATGGTTCAATCATGCCTCCCATGTTTTCTCCATATTAAAGGAATTTCATGTCTTTCCATGATGCTTTGTGCCTTTTAGTGATTTACCAAGTATCTGTTCAAGTGTTTCTTTCGTTTGATTGTAAGCTGCATGTTCATGTTACCCAAGTGCGTATCACAGCCCTTGAACAGAACAACCATTTAATATATGCACAGTTGACTGAATAACTGAAATACTCCAATCTCTGTCTCAAAGTTAGTATATTTATGGCAGCAGCACTATTCTTGATACCTTCCCATACCTGACTCAATAATTCCTACCCTCCTAGATGCAGGGCGGGGGGATTTCCCTTTTTGGAAACCGTACCAATATAATGATTGTTAAAATTCTTACTGCCATAAGAGATACCTAGAAACTCACCGCAAATCCTAATGTTCATGAGAGAAGTCAATTATAAAATATGGTTTTTGCCCATTTAAGAGACAATAGAGGAGGGTGGTTAAGCATGCAGTTAGTTATTGGAGGCGGACTGGCTGGATTTGGGACCTACTTATTGCATGTATTGGTCATGTAATCTTGGGTAAGTTACTTAAGTTCCATGCTTCCTTGTTAATGAAGTGGAGAAAATCACTGCCTACCTCATAGGTGTTGCAAGAATTATGGGGGCGCCTGGGTGGCTTAGTCGGTTAAGCGTCCGACTTTCGCTTGGGTCATGATCTTGCGGTTCGTGGGTTCGGGCCCGCGTCAGGGTCTGTGCTGGCTGCCAGCTCAGAGCCTGGAGCCTGTTTCAGAGTCTGTGTCTCCCTTTCTCTCTGACCCTCCCCTGCTCACGCTCTCTCTCTCTCCTAGAAATAAATAAAAATATTAAAAAAAAAAAAAAGAATTATGTAATACGTGTAGATACCCAGCAGTGTCAAGCACAGAGAAGACTATCAGTAAATGTTAGCTATACTAAGGCAGCACAGTGAAGACACTAACCAGGAAGCTGCTGAACTAACTAGCTGCTGGTTAGAACACAGCAAGTGCAAGGAAACAAGTAACGGCGTGAAAGGGCCTAGAGAGAAAAGTAAGAAGAAACGGATTTAAGTCCTGGCTCTAACTCTAACTTTATACTATCAACCAAATCATTGCTTCCTTGAACATCAATTTCTTTGCACTTCAGTGTGGAAAATGGTACCTAGCTCACAGCACTGTGAGGATTTAAATGTAATGAAAAGTGAAAGAGCTTTGTGAAATATAACGCATTATAAACTATGAAATGTTATCTCTATATCATCAAAAGCACAATGAGGAACATTTGCACTCCACTGAGAAGCTGGGAGAAGGACAGTAAAAGTGTGTGCCAGGCCACCCTGCTATTGGTTCTACTATTAATACCCAATGATAGCATAGATATTTTATTTTTAAAAAAATTTTAAAAATATTTATTTTACAGGTTGGGGAGGGACAGAGAGAAAGGAGGACACAATCTGAAGCAGGCTCCAGGCTCTGAGCTGTCAGCACAGAGCCCGATGCGGGGCTTCAACCCACAAGCTGTGAAATCATGACCTAAGCCAAAGTAGGATGCTTAACTGACTGAGCCACCCAGACGCTCCAATAGCATAGAGATTTTAAATCAAAAGGAAATGTATTCTTTACTTTGAACTTAACAAGTCTGAAGGACACTCTTGAAAGTGAACTGTGGGCAAGCACTAAAAGTAAAATGAAATTAATGTCTTTCATAGCAAAAAGACAGTTACCACATGAAGCGTAGTATTTTATCAATGTATTCTGGGCAAGTGATTAAAAAAATAATGCATGTTATTTGTTGTCTTTAAAATTGTTTAAAAGACTAAAGAAATTGTAAAAAATTAAATTTTTACTAACATAGAGAAAACTCTAGGAGTTTTAGTTTTTAATAATAAACTAGTCTAGAAATAAGAGATCATCTAAACAAAGATAGTGTTTCAAATGGAATTTGAGATCATTACTATACCTGTTGACTATAATCTGGAAGAGGATTCTTTGGACCCTGCCGCCCCCTTCACAGAGATGGGCTGTGGAGTGCGGGAGTTTGTCCTAACCAAAACAGGCCTTCCGTAGATCTTTTATACAGCTGTACAAATAGTAAAATGTGGGCAATTAATACTTCACTCACTGAATCAATCTGACCGTTTCAGCTGAAAGATCTATATTCTTCATTTAGACTTACAGTCAATTGAGCTAAGTTTTCTTGTAGGTCAGAAATCTCTTGCTTCCTCTTTATGTGTCTTTCTGCTCCCCTAAAAGGCCTCTCTTCCACTGATAACGAAACGTGCTCTCAGTCATTCAGTTTTACTGTGATTTTGACCTCAGGTGTCACCTATTGTAGGGTATTTGTAGTCTGCTTCCTAACATCAGAATGAAAGATTCTTTCTACATGTTAACCAATAGAAGTCATGTCATATTGGCCACAGGGTTTTCCCAAATGGGATAGAATTCTCCAAAATTCTACTGAGTGATAATTTACTTATTTGCAAATGCTTCTCGGGCTTTCTATCTCTTCCTGAACATACACTTTGTTTAATTGGAGTTAAAATATAAAGATCATGAAAAAAGATAAGGTCTCAGCATTTGATGCATCTATGTCTTACAGTGCAAAGACTTTATTAAAAAATGAATTTGGGGGCTCCTGGGGGGCTCAGCTGGTTGAGCGTGGAACTTTCTTCCAGCTCAGGTCACCATCTCATGGTTCCTGAGTTTGAAGCCCTGTGTTGGGATCTGAGTTGAGAGGGCAGAGACTCCTTGAGACTTCTCTCTCCCTCTCTCCCTCTCTCCCTCTCTCCCTCTCTCCCTCTCTCCCTCTCTCCCCTCCTCCTTCTGCCTGACCTCACACATGCTGACTCTCTTTCTCTCTTAAAAATAAACTTTTTTTTTTTAGAAATTAATTTTGTTACTGGATTTCTAAGAGAAATGGGGAGGAGAGAGAAATAAATTGTAGGAGAACAATCAAAGATACCAGTGGGTATAATGGCCATGAAAAAGAAGAAAGAACATACGCACTTTTATGAGAGACGAAGTAGAAGAAAGGGAACAATGGGAGAACAGAAGATGAGCATGCTTATAGCACTAAGAAAAGAAAAGCATTTTTCACTGTAGCATTTCAAAGGGTTTTTTAAAGAGGCAGATACTATGAAAATAGAAAGAGGATATTCTGTAGGAAACCTAACAGGAGTAGGGAGGGAAAGCATGTGGACAAGAGAAAGGAAAATAAAATGAAAAAGCATATATATTACTCTGTAATTGCAACAATAATCTCAATATGGTACGTTTCCTAAGTCTGTTTCTCTCCAAAACTAGTGCCTAAGAAAAGGTACCTCTATATTCAGAAAAGAAAAGTCATAGAGGGAAGTGAATTATCTGAGAACATAGAAATAAAGGAAATGTAGGCTCAAAACTTTGGGCTTTAAAACCCCCAACGGTCAGGCATAACCCAGATGCCCCATCCTCAAAGTCAGCCTCTCATAGAAGAGCTTCTGGCTTTAAATAAGAAGACAGTCCAGAGAACTCATGGTGCCCTATCTCATAGATGGCTGATACTATATAATTTTAATGTGATCTTCATGTTAAAAAAAATAATGCCTAAATTCATTAGTGAAAAAGTTGTAATGATTACAGACTTTAGAATGAAATAAAGAGAAGAGTGTGAGGACAACTTATCCAAGACAGAAAAATACATTACAACATCACATTGTAAGGGATATAACAGCAGCATGTATAAATCACTAAGTATAAACAGAAGAGTAAGGAATTAAATTCAGCTTGGACTAAAGGGCAGGGGGAAAAAGTTCAGAAAAAGCTTCACAGAGAATGCAGTAAGTTGACCCTTGGGGCGTGTGGATGGGTTCGTAGGTTAAGGGTCAGACTTCAGCTCAGGTCATGATCTTACGGTTCGTGTGTTCAAGCCCCACGTCCAGCTCTGTGCTGCCAGCTCAGAGCCTGGAACCTTCTTCAGATTCTTTCTCCCTCTCTCTCTGCCCCTCCCCGACTTACACTGTCTCTTCTTCAAAAATAAATAAACATTAAAAAATTAAAAAAAAAAAAAACAAAAGTTGAGCCTTAAAGTCTAAGCAAGATTTCTGCAAGTAGGAAGGATTTCTATACCACCACCAGCTGAACTGCCAAATGAAGAAAGATCCAGGCGTTTTCCCTTCTTTCAAAATTCAGGATTTTGGGGGCACCTGGGTGGCTCAGTCGGTTAAGCATCCGACTTCAGCTCAGGTCATGATATCATGGTTCATGGGTTCAATCCCTACCTTAGGCTCTGGGCTGATAGCCAGCTCAGAGCCTGAAGCCTGCTTCAGATTCTGTGTTTCCCTCTCTCTCTGACCCTCCCCTGCTCACGCTATGTCTCTCTCTCTCTCTCTCTCTCTCTCAGAAATAAATAAAACATTTTTTTAAAAATTCAGGATTTTCACTTGATTTCCATAAGCACAGACAGTAAAAATATGGCCAGAAACAGCCACATCTAAAAGCCCACAAATGGCTTTAGAATCCACATCAAAATGATCTCATACTAACAAAGGAACATTGAGTGCATGATGTGACAAGAGAGGGGGTCTATCTACCCAGGGTCCAAGAATTCAAATGTCACTCAGCCATGCCATTGGGACATCCCCTATAGGATGTTATCTGATAAAAAGGTGTATGAAAATTACCGAGCGTATCAGGAAAATTTCTGGAGCCTCATGTTATGAGAAGATATGCAAATTATGATCTTTGCATCTATCACACAATTTATGCACTTGGAAATCTATTAAAGGATGCTTTTAAACCCTATGGTCGACTCAGAGGAGAAGAGTGGTAGGCTGGTGTAGGCTTTGAGGAATAAATGTGTATCTTCCTTTTCTAGACCTATAGGCTAGCTTCTTATAAAAAATAGTCTGCTGCTCTTCCAAAAAGGATGTGACACAGCCTATCATGTTAAAATATAATATATAAATAATAAGATAATTAAGAAAATAGAATAATAAAGAGAAACTATTCTGAAAGAAACCCAATAATTGTACCAGAACAAATGGCTAGGGTAGTTACTCCAATTGTTATTCTAATTGTGAATCAAATTTAGCTGTGAGCTCCCTGGTAGCCAAGGAAAAATGGGAATGGTTATGAGCTATTTACAGATCACTAAAGACAGTTCACAAAATCACCTCTAAGAGCATGTCATTTCTGGGCATTAAGTCCTACGAGAACTTCATCATGGAATTCACTGTGTAAGGGAAACAGCATCACACAAAGTCTTCAACTGCGGTTCTGTAGAAAAGAGATTCCTCCTGTGGTACTTCTTATTTTCATCTCCATAAAAAAATCTGAGGACAAAACATTAAAAACTGTAACCCTGGAAGGAATTTCTATGGAGATATAAAGTAAAACAGTCCTAGTACATTGTTCTCTGGTAGTATAACATAATTCAGAAATAAAACTTATAAAAACAAAGATATTAGATAATTTGTCTCTTAGATGTTCAGAAATTGTTCAGCTTAAGAAATTCAATACCTGAAGCATTGGATCACTGCAGTTAGTAGAAGAAATATCCTTAGTGATAAAGTCTTATTTAAAAGCTAGTGATAACATATTTTAAACTAAAGCCAAGTAACTTAATTTATATTCTAACTCAGAGAGGTCTCCCCACCTCTAAATGAAGTTGAGTCTAAGTGGTACACATTTTTTTTTCATCCAAAAGGAATTTTAGACTGCCCAAGTCCACAACTGGAAAGTTAGAGTTCTTTGTGACATCACAGAAGGGAAAAAATATAAGATATTATCAACTGCCCTTCTCATAAGTGAACCAAACAGAATCTTCTAATCTATCATATGACACCAAGCCACACTTACCTATGCTAACATCTAACTTAAGTTCATGCCTAACTTTGTCCTTGACATCCATGTCCCATTGTCTTCCTATTAACTGATTCTTAATGGATTACTCCCCTCTCCAGGTCTGAAACACTCTTCTGAAAAAATAAGAATACTCCACAACTTATTATAAATTCACACTGTCAATATACCTTTTTCGCATTATCAACATCTTTTGTGTAAAATGCACTGGAATTCTCAAACCTTCTCTTCTGTGTTGCTGCAAATTTCTCTAAATAACACCATACACCTTCCTTTAAGGCAACTAGCCCTTGCCAAAATTGAGCCATTACATCACTATTTGTAATGTTGTAAAGACTGAGCTTTAAAATCTATTAAATCAGAAATTCTGTTTTCATTTCTCCAATTTCCTCATGCTGGGTTTGAACTTTAACTCTATTTGGATTAAGCCACAATCACTTCTTGTTTTAATGGAACCGACTAATCAGTTTTACTGGAACCAATGTTCATCATGGGCTATTTGGTCTCCATGACATCAGTCTGGACTATCAGTGTAGTATATAGTATGGGTGGGCAAATTGTCTTTATCACCATTTAAAAAATTTTTAATGTTGGTTTATTTTTGAAAGAGAGACAGAAAGAGCACTAGCAGGGGAGGGGCAGAGAGAGAGGATGATACAGAATCTGAAGCAGGCTTCTGGCTCTGAGTTGTTAGCACAGGGCCTGACACGGGGCTTGAACTCATGAACCATGATATGATGATCTGAGCTCAAGCCACATGCTTAACTCACTGGGCCACCCAGGTGCCCCGTGTTTATCACCATTTAAAAGAAGTAATAGGGTAAGTATCCTGTTCATTACTAGAAGACAAAAAGTATAGGTTGATTTTGCTGCAAAGTCTTCAGTCCAAAGGTCCAACGTGGAATCCAAGATCACAAATGAAGCTCACTGGAACCCATGCTTGCATCAGGGATATTCTTAAATAGGCTGTAAATGATGCCTCTTGTCTTCCTCTGATCTGGGCTCCCAGCTTTACTTGTCTCTGTCTCTAGCTTTGCATTTATAGAATCTTGCATCATTTAATTTCCTAGAGCCCTAAAATATCATGCCAGTTATCATTCTCTTAAATCACCTAAACCCTTCACCTTAGACTTCAATTCCCTCTAGGATCCACCTTCACTCTATTCTTTCATTTTGTTTTTCACTCTTTCATATACATTCTCCTACCGTCGGCCTTGTTCTCCCCTGATCCTCAAGCACATCATATAAAATACCACTAATGTGACTTTGCTTATACGATATGAATGGAGAGGCTCCCTTTTCTACTTGTCCAAGCCCTTTATGAGTACATCCAAGTGTTGGCTTCCTCCATGAAGTTCCCACTGATCACCCTCTACTTGAGTGAATACCACATACTTGTTAACTCAGTTCAATCTTAGTTTCTGCATGTTGCTTTTGTTCCTTATACTAGAATATAAGTTCCATTACGGGTGATTCTAAATCTTACAATCTTCCTATATCCCATATCACAGCTAGAAGTGTGAGCTTCAATAAATATTTATGGAATGAGCAATTGTTTTGTTAATTGCATATATTTCAGAGTACTATGATGATAACTTGTTATTACAATTATTTTGGAAGAGCTCCCACTTAGGCTTCTCTGAGGTTTTGGAGACTTTCAAATGCTTCGATACTCACTTATTCTTGGAAAAACTATTTCACATTTGTCAACTTGTACATTCAGTTGTAATCCTATTTCATAATGAAGGTGATAATTGTACCTGCCAATAATTACGATAAATGTACTATTTTATACAATGTCTTTTGTTCATTTCTACGATCAGGAAAGTAGAGGTGATTTTGTTCCAACAGTGTGTTCAAATATGGAACTAAAGTGAGTGATATATGATTAGAATGTTTTTCAGAAATGATAAATCTCTTTGGTCTAATTAATGTAAGTAGGTGTCAAGAATCAAAAATCTTTGTATTTCTCCAAGAAAATTCTATCCTTCCAAATCTAGCTCCTCTCCTCCCACAGTTTGCTTTGACTGCATTTGGCTCCTGGTTTTATCATCAAAAGCTGCTTTTGTCAGTTCCCCTCTATTCTCTCTCACATCAAGGATATGATTGATACACATGGTTAGAGTTCAGGATCATGTAAGTAGAGGTGACATCAAGGCAGTGCATACATCTTCAAATTGAGTATCAGATACTTCTGTTCTTAAATACCATTAAGATAGTACAATGTGCCACTTGGTCTGCACTCTCTCCATTTGGGGGAACCCTTTTCCTTTCATGAATCCAACGTAATCAAATAAAATCTTGAATTCTTCTCATTTTCTTTCTGAAGGAAATCATCTCTCTGTTGCTCTCTTTGAACATTTAGAAGCCCTTGGATAAATTGCAGAGTGTCCTAAACCTGTGGTCTTCTACTTTCTCTTTTCCCAACAAGGCTTTCCAAGGGGGAGGGAAGAGTTGATGCATATTCTCTTTTTCCTTTGACAAAAAGAATGTTATTCCAGGGCAGAAACCCAGAGAACTTTTCTGTAGTGTACTATAGGTAAATATCATCTAAAATAAATAAATAAATAAGAAGCTTAAATTGAAAAATAGATGGCCTTCTATCCACAGACAAGAGAGAAACTTGATACATATTCACAGGATATGGTAAAAGGAAAGAGCATGGGTTTTCAGATCGGACAGCAGTGATGTCAAATATGAGTCCCACTAGAATGTTACCATAAGCCAAGCTTCTCTCATCTCTAAGTACTGTATTATAGCATGAACATTAAAGACTGGTGTCAAGAGTAGGATAGTACTACTGGTCAAGAGGCTGGATCAGTGCTTGGACATAGAAGATGCTCACTACTGGTCAGTGAAATGATTATGATTATGGCAATATTAGAATGAAGCAAACTCATTCCTGAGAAACCACAGCTATGAAAGCAGGGAAGAGAGTCTGTTTACTCAGTACTTTAAAAATGGTTATCCAGTGTATAAAATGGTTTCCTAGGATGCAAAGTGTAAATGCTCTAGGATCTAATCTTATATAGGTATTGTAGGGGCTTTTCCCAATTTATGCAACAGAGGACACATCATCAGAGAGGAGAGAGAATACTATTCTATGGTTACATAAAATGGTGAAAAATACATTCAGGATGATATTAAAACGCATGGCAATTTTTAAAATGCCTTTTTTTTTTTAACTATTAGAACTACTCACTATATATTTTCTTTCTGAAACAGCTGCTAACAGTGAAAGTAACTGGGGAGAGGATGGGAGGCTGTTAACTTTTCTGGCTTGGAAACCCATCAGTCAGGATGATTTCAAAAAGCAACAATCTAAGACTACCAATTCTTCCTGGTTAGAATTTACCCTTCTCAGTGTAAATGAGCTTCATACTCTCTGCATGCAAGGGATAAGAAGGAACTCAGTCCTGCAGTTCCATCTGTGCCAAAGGTCACCATACTAATATTGTCTCTTCAGTGACTTGGCAACCACGCACGACCATCATCTACAAGGACTTAAACACACAGCAGTCACTAAGATGTGTTAACAAGAACCCTTTTCACTTAATGCTGATACTTAAGTGTTGTCCAGTCTAGGATCAGGGCTAGAATCACCACAAAGGAAGTAAATGAACGCCACTAGATGTCACATGGCTTAATAGAAGGAAGGTGTCTACCACAAAATGTTCTTTTGGGAAGATATTATTTTGTCTATGCTAAAAATGACCCCTCTCCCCCAAGAAAGAAAATGTCATTTTCTTAGTCTACATATTTTTCTTGTCCAATTACCTCCTGCCACTGGAGTATGCCATACTGCAACCAGTAATATGCTGCTCATATCTACAAGAGCTCAGGGTACAGTAATCCTGTTTGTATATTCAAAATAAATTATAAATTAATTTCTTTCAGACCTATTGTGACTGGTCATTTCTACCTACCACATTAAGATGCTCTGTTCCTATCATAATTTAATAACTTGAAATGTATAGCCTATGACCTGGTTACGTATACTATTTAATAAGTGGCAACCTAGGATAGTTACTTCACTTATAATGCAAATAAAGTTAAATGCAACATAGTTTGTTGGAACAACACAATTTAGATTAAGAATCTAAATATGAAGTTTCTACTAATGTTCATCAGTCACTTATTAGTAAAAGCCAGCTACCAGCTCTCCATTTCCCATCTGTAAAACAACACTTTCTAACATCTGACTACAAAACGCTACCTAGGGCTGGCTCAATGAAAATAAATGATATGTGTATTTGGTACCATGAACTCCTTGGAGTTACAAATTGGGGCATTCCCTTGTTGCTAGGCAACATTAGAATGGATAACAAATCAAAGCCTGAAACAGCATTAATGTGAGTATATTTGTAATGAATTCATAAAATAACTGTACAGATAAAATTTATGAGAAGTTGCTTACTAGACATAATACCTCTGAGATACAGAGAATTCACATGAGCATACAGTTCAGAATGACCACTGCATTTATCAACAGGTCAGAGAAATTCCAGCCAAAAGCCAATCTTCCAAAATGTCAGACTCAGCCAACTTCATTGGCATGTCCTGGAACAACGGGATTGCCAAAGGTAATATATCAAAAAGAAAGGGGCCACAAGGGGCCATGAAGGAAGAGCAGGGCATAGGGGTTTTCAATGGTATACTTGTATTAGGTTACTGTTCCTGCCTAATGCAGAAACAGATCCTTCCTTTTTTCACTTAAACACAACCAAGTTCCAGATCTCCTTCCAAATATTTTGCCAAGAGCAGCCCAAGAGGACCATATGCAAGGCAGATGCTTAAAGGTTAAAGGAAGTGCTCGAGGCATAACAGCTTTGGA